TGGCACACCTCGCAACTCCCAGTCTGCGAACTTGTAGCCTGGGTTGTAGTTGTCTCTCAAATCCGCCTTTGCGCGCAGCCCGTTCGACTTGAGCGTCTTCTCGAGCGCTGCACAAGCGTCGAGGATCACGTCCCTGTCCTTTGGCGAGGTCTTGGAAGTGATGCCGACGGGAACAATAATGACTTGGATCTGAGCCACACGAGGCGGCATGACCAAACCTTGGTTGTCTCCATGCACCATGACCATCACACCGATAGTCCTAGTGCTCAGTCCCCAACTGTTTTGCCAGACGTGCAGCTTGCCTTCTGGCTTGCCACGAATTTCATCAGGAGCTTTGGGATCTTCGACGGTGATGTTGAACATCTTTGAGAAGTTTTGGCCCAGGCAGTGAGACGTTCCGCCTTGAATACCTCGGCCAGTGGTGGGAACGAAACCTTCCACTGTGGTGGTGTAGTAGCCGCCTGCAAATTTCTCCTTCTCCGACTTGACACCAGGCACGACGGGGACGGCTAGCAGCTCTTCGTACACTCGCCGGTAGAGGTCCAGAATCTGCTTGACTTCGACATCAGCTTCTTCCAATGTCATATGCGCTGTGTGGCCTTCCTGCCACAAGAACTCTCGCGTGCGCAAGAATGGCTCTGAGGACGATTTGAACGCGCATGAGGAACTTAATGCTGATCAAACGGTTGTGGGTACGTCACGACGTTGAGACTCACGAGGATGCTTGAACTCCCATCGCACGACGCTGTTCCATTGGTTCAGTTTCAGCGGCAGATCGCGATGGCTACGAATCCACTTGGCGTAGTCTGCGCATGCGAGGATCATTGAGCTTCTTTGCCTAGTCCCACCGAAAAGGCTAGCCAACTCACATGGATACATGACAGTCTCCGACGTGGGGCGAATGGCGACCGGCTTTTCAAGATCTGAACTTCCTCTGCAAAGGGAAAGAGACGCAGCTCGTAAGTCAGCGCAGAGCCCGTGTGATGCCAAGGCAACCCGGTCGTCTCGCAACTCACGCTTTTGTGACCCAGGCGACTTCGGGCGCGAATCCTTCAATGTGATCCTTCTCCCTCTCGAGCACGTCAGAAGAGACGAACATGGGAAAGTAGCAGTTCTCCACGCCGAGCTTCTTGATCTCAGCATCGAACCAAGCTGGAAGCGAATTGTTAGCATGAGCAGATCCCATGCATACGTAGGCCTTCGACCTTTTCGCGCAAGCTCGACTTACTTTGGATGGCTTGCCAGACGCTATAACTCGCAGGCTTGAGGATGTAGCAGCCGCTGACGTCGTAGTACTCCAGCATGTCTCCCTTTTTCAACACCTGCTGATACCATTCCGAAAAGTCTCCGTCCTTGCGAACGTTGATACCGATGAGCTCCGCGTCAGCAATTTTTGCGTCCGCTTTTGCCTGTTGGATCGCTTGTGCGGATGCGCTAGGGGCGGCCTTGGTGGTTGACTTGGCAGCGGGACTGTGCATTCGAGGATGGTGGCAAGTATTCGTATATCATGAACGCTCCAAGCTCGCCGTTTCCGGACACTCGAGATGATGGTACACCACGATCTACTCACGCGCCTGCAGGAGAGGCAGCCAGAGA